CATGACACTGCCAACTAGAGATGCATACGACTTATCCTTCATAACTCGAATGTCATGTTGAGTTATGGGGCACTGTGAGAGAGAGAACTTATCTCCTTTACCAATGGGGACATCACCCGCACTGCAAGCTTCCATATTGAATCTCTTCAACACTCTCTCAATGTAGTTCTTCTGAGATAGCCCCAAGGTTCCATTCTGCCTATTCCTCATAATCTCAATACCCAAAAGATAATGAGCCTCTCCCATATCTTTCATATCAAAACCGTTACATAGCATTTTCTTGGTTTCAATCATTAACTGCATATGAGAGCTTGCCAACAGTATATCATCCACATATAAAACCATGAAAATGAATTGAGATTTGTGTTGCTTCATGTAGATACAATTATCAATTTTGTTCTCCACAAAACCAAAGGATTGAAAACGTTTATACCACTGCCTCGAAGCCTGTTTTAAACCATAAATAGACTTATTTAGCTTGCACACCAGATGTTCTTTCCCCCTTTCAACAAATCCTGGGGGTTGTACCATATAAATGTCCTCATCAAGGCGACCATAAAGAAAGGCAATTTTAACATCCATTTGGTAAAGTTCCAAGTCAAAATGAGCTGTGAGTGCCATAATAACCCTAAAAGTCTTTGGTAGAAACTGGAGAAAACATTTTTGTGTAATCCAAGCCTTCCTTTTGTGTAAACCCTTTAGCTACAAGTCAGGCTTTAAGCCTTTCAATCTGCCATGAGCATCCCTCTTGGTTTTAAATACCCATTTGCATTGCCTTCTTAGTGTCTGAACCATCAACCAAAGTCCAAACATGATTACTTGCCATGGAAGCAAGTTCTTCTGACATTGCAACTTTCCACAAATCACTCTTAGAACTCTCCATGGCCTGTTTATAAGTCATTGGATCATCTTCATCACCAAGATCATACTCAACTTCTTGTAGATAACACAAATAATCATTTGGTATAGCAGACTTCCTGGTTCTCATCGATTTCCTTGATAAAGGGTTTCCATAGCACTAGCAGTAAGAGAACCATGCCACACCCGAGAAAGGGGATCGAAACCCTAGTTATAAGGATGTAACTGCCCCTCCTATCATGGTTGCAGTTACTTTCAGTTTTCCAACTCCTCATAACCGTTCTCTACATCATTTTGTACAAAACTCCTAGTTTTCTCACCTTATATTATACATTGATCAACATGTATAAGTTTCATTACATTATATCTCCTTATGGTAATGTTTTTTGATGTCTTTATTAGTTGTTTTGATTCACTTATCACATATAAGCTCTAACAAATGATACCCAAAATTCAGGGTAGTTAACGACAAGGGTTTTCAGTGATCGTAGTACTTTAATCATATATAGATGCTTAACATGGGTATCCCACATGGTGCCTCCTGGTCTTCTCTTTCACCACTCGGTGAAGCCTGCTCAAGAAGGGATTTGACTGCTATACATGATATCCTAGAGAGTATCGGCTATAAAGACAATGGAATGACAAATGAGGTCCTATTTTTGTTTAATAAATGGAGAAATAATTATCTAATAAGTTGTGTTGTATATATTTAGCCTTCTCAATAGTTACGTTCCACTGCAGCTCTTGTTCCAAATGTGCACTAACCAAATGCTGGAATCATTAGATTCAAAGAAAAGGGAGGATTCTGCTTTTAAGCACAAGGACTTCAAACCACAATTGAGTGTTATTCACAGGTTAGGTTCTTATTATGATACTTGTGGGAAATTCTAAGTAGAGGTTTGATAAGAGTTGTTTTCCTGTTCATACCGATCATTACATTTTATCTTCTAATTCATGACAGGAAGATTTGAAGAAAGGAAATTGGTAGTTTAAGTTATCTTAGAGTATCTGAACCTAGAAACTCTACTTGCATGACCAGTAAAAAGAACAAAACTGAAAGAAAAAAAAAAAATTAGTAAATCCTTAATTGTTGCTTTCTCTGCATTATTGTTGCTGACAGTTCTATTTCACTTGCAGTTCATTGATTTTGGAACAATGGTGTCTCCAACAATTTTTGCCTGGTGTAGTTTGTCTTATATCATGAGTGACAAGCCTCAGGAAGCTATAAACGATGCAATGCAAGCACAAGTAGTTTCCCCACTGTTTGATATCCGTTCCTAGTATATTCTGATTGTATTCGTTTATTTTATTTATTATAAACGATGTATTTTGACTCCATCTGTTTGATATCTTTTCCTAGTATATTCTGATTGTATTTTGTTTATTTTATTTATTATAAATTTTTAGGATGGCAATCCCAGAATATCCACCTTTGCCTAATGAAAAATAGTAGGGATGGGAAGAGTTATAGTACAAATCTGGCATTTACTCTTCCTGAATATATTAGGACTAGTAGGTAGATCATGGAAAAAAGCGGCATTTATTATGATTTACTTGACAAACATCCTTTAAGGATGCAGTTCAGCAATTATTATCATTGCAGATCCCTTGTCTTGCAGGGAGAGTAACACCAGAAGGTGCAATATATAGGTTTGGACTCTCTTGATTGATCTTCTCAGCAGAAAGCGGATCCCCTCTAGCCATTTAAATGATTGTTCCAGTGGTGAACTGAACAAAAATAAAGAAAAAAAATCATTTGTAGGAAAAGATAAATTAGGGAAACTCTTGTAAAGATCTAATGGTTACTCTTTTACCTACGATAAAATATAGTTTACTTTCAATTGTTATGAACTCTATGTGAGGATTTATCCTTCTTAGGATATGTAAACACAAATAAGTAAATTTATTCATCTGGTGGTTGATCATTTTGTACCAGGCCCTAGACCTGATTCGAGACAGAAACCTTCAGACGCTGACAGATTCTTGCTTGGAAGGACAGATTTCTAATGATAATGGTACCGAGTTGGCACGCTTGGCTTAACGATGTTTACAATCTGAACCCCGAGAGCGACCAAATCCAAAGTGATTAGTTGCTTCTTTGACTCCTCTTCAGAAAGAAACTGAGGTTAGTTCTTTCTCCTCTGTTTCTCTAATTAAGCATTCTATTCCCAACTTTACCCGGGGAGCATAGTTTGATTGTTTAAAATCTTCACACAATTGTTTCTAGATCTATATTTTGGGGCAGTCTTGTAATCAATATATTCATATGTTATCTTCTTTTCACAAACTCAATCTGAGCTAATTGTGTAAGCTCATCGTATCTACCGATTCATAATTTGTTAATACTGAACCTTTGTATCAAGCAGAAATATTTGAAAATTTGGGAAAGGGATATGACTCTCATTTGTTATTAGTGAGGACTTGAGAGAGTTAAATTTTTGTTTAGTGCCTTTCATGGTGAATGATACTCTCTTATGGCCCGAAATTGAGGTTGGTTAATTACAAGGGTTTTCAGTGATACCGTACTCGTTGGGTGCCTATTAGAAGCACTCGGATCTGCAGCATCCTAGTAGTTTAATCATAAATAGATGCTTAACATGATGCTGGTAGCTGTATCCTGGACTTCCTTTAAGTTCTTTTTGCTTTCCTCTGCAGGTTCCGCCGGTTTTGATGGAAATCCCACATGTTACCTTCTGGTCTTCTCTTTCACCACTCGGCGAAGCCTGCACAAGAAGGGATTTGACTGCTATACATGAGATCCTAGAGAGTATCGGCTATACAGATGATGGAATGAGAAATGATGTTCTATATTCGTTTAATTAATGGAGAAAAATCTAATAAGTTGTGTTGTATACATATTTAGCCTTCTCAATTGTTTGGTTGTGTTACTGACATTTTCTCTCTTACGGTCCACTGCAGCTCTCTTTCCAAATGTGGACTGACCAAATGCAGGAATCATTAGACTCAAATAAAAAGGGGATTCTGCTTTTAAGCTCAAGGACTTCAGAACCACAATTGAGTGTTATTCACAGGTTAAGTTCTTATTATGACACTCGTGGGAAGTTCTGGGTAGAGCTTTGATAAGAGTTGCTTTCATGTTCATACTGATATCCAAATTTTACCTTCAATAGGATGTTCTTTATCTGACCTGTTAAAATAAATTACTACACACAGCTTCGCACGAAGTTTGTTTGGCATTACATCTTATCTTCTACTTCTTGATAGGAAGAAACAAAATTGGTAGTTCAAACAAAATTGGTAGTTTAAGGTAAGTTAAAGAGTATCTAAACCTGGTAACTCTACTTGCATGACCAATAAAAAAGAACAAAACTGAAAGAAAAAAAATATTATCCTGAATTGCGGCTTTCTCTGCATTTGTTATCGTTGCCGACAGTGTTATTTTGCTTGCAGTTCATTGATGTTGGAATGATGGTTTCTCCAACAATTTTTGCGCAGCGTAGTTTGTCTTATCTCATGAGTGACAAGCCTCACAAAGCTATAAACGATGCAATGCAAGCACAAGTAGTTTCCCCACTTTGGCACATTGCATGTTATCTTCAGGCTGTTTCCCGTTCAGCCCTTGGAATGGACATTGAAGCTCAAGCAGGACTTAAGGAGGGTACTACGCTTAAATCTAAAAGGAGTAAAGCAGTTGGACAAAAGTGAAAATCTAGTCCGGTCGACCAGGTGCCCAGTTTTCCACTTCATTCGGTTTGGCTCTCAGCATATATAGGCGTCGATCGCTCGTAAGGTTTAAAACCACTGGAGCCAAAGCTTCTTCATTTCCATGGTATTAGATTTTGGTCATTTTCCTGTAGTATATATTGTATTTGATTTGATTTCTTGTGTGTCAATTCGCGTATATGGATTCTTTCGACAAAATGGAAAGAAAAAATAGAAAGTTGTTAAAAACAGTGGTAGGGAGGAAATCGTTCAGAAGCTTTATAATTTGTGTACAGAAAGCATATAGGATTCCTACTTGGATAAATAAATAAATAAATAATAATAATAATAATAATAATAATAATAATTAACGTCGTTTGGTTGTTGTTAGACACATATATAAATTACTACTTGGATACAAATAAATAATAAAAAGTTAACCCTTCGAACTAAAATTTACGACGAACAAAACAATCATATGCAGTCCATAATTAACTCACTTTCTTTGGTAAATATCATGATTCTAAACATAATCTGCAGAATGGTCTTGATAAAGTAAACATAAACATAAACATCTTACAAACAACTAACATTAACAAAACATCTGCCAAAGAGATTTAGTAGTAAAGTTCTTTATTGTGACAACTCAATACTTGAAAACTTAAAACAGATAAAGCCCATGAAGCTCTTCTAGTGAAGTGAGCCCTTTTGTGCTATCTTAGAAGACGCTGAAAATAAAAATAAACAAGCACACGTAATTAAGTTCTGAAGAAGACAGCCAAATCAATTAGAAAAACTTTACAAATAGATGCATGCATATCGCTAATTTAAGAAAGAAAAGTAAAATCACATTTACGTACCATTGCTTAATTGAAGTGCCGCTTGATCGAAATCACCCTCACATAAAGCCAATCATTCAAGACATTCAAGAACCTGATGTACGAGTATCTCCATTGCCTGATGAAAATTAGACTGCCACAAATTCCCCAAAATCCAACAATAAAACCAAGCGCCATGCTGACGTAAAATCCCCATGTTATCAGCTCATCCTTTTCTTCTTCATTGCTTGAGATCATGGTTTCCTGTTGATCATCACACATATTTTGAAGTGGAGGTCCGCACAGTTGAGGATTTCCAGCATAATTAGAGGGATCAAAACTTTGGAGCTGAGTGCCTGTTGGAATTTTGCCAATAAAATTGTTGTATGACAAGTCCAAGACACTAAGACGATCTATCCGAGCAAGGCTTGTTGGAATTCTGCCATCTATTTGGTTTCTTGACAAATCCAGGATCTCCAATGCTTGCAACTTTCCAATCTTTGCAGGTAGCTCACCTGTCAATCCGTTTATCGACAAGTTTAAAGAAATTAACCCAACAAGATATGTGATTTCAATTGGAATCTCCCCCGTTAACCTATTGCTTGAGAAATCAATTCTCTTCACGAGTCCCAAAGTGTTTCTGTACGAGTACATTCTTCCCTTCCATACAAATGTTGCATCATCCATATAACCAACCATATATGAAGTATCCACTATTTGGTGTTGAAGGATCGGAGATGAATTTCCTATCTGTGCCAGAGCAGTCAAATTGCTGAGGCATTTTGGTATTGCTCCAGAGATGTTGTTCACAGACACATCCAAGTTTTGAATTTTTGTTAGACGGCATAGTTCAGACGGCATGCTTCCGTTGAAGTTATTAGAGGAAAGCATCAAGATAACCAAATTCTGAAGGCTAACCCCTAACCATTTTGGTACGGGTCCTGATAATTGATTGTTTCCAACATCAATAACTTGTAAACTGGTGCAATTCTTGAAGGATGAAGGCAACTCTCCAACAAATCTGTTGCTTCTTAGTTTCAACGTTTCCATGTGATACAGTGAGCCTACTGTGGATGGAATTTTCCCTGAAAATGCATTGTAGCTCAAATCAAGCATGACTAGATGGTCAAAATGTGTCAAGCATTCTGGAAGCTCTCTGGAGAGATTGTTGCTTGAGAGATTAAGAAACTTTAAACTCCTGTATGCTTCACACAAGATAGAAATTGACCCTGAAATGTTATTATTAGAGAGATCCAAATATGACACATGCGATAGATTCGAGAAGTGGCTTTCCGAAAGCACACCTTCCAGAGCATTCATACTCAAGTCCATATACTCTAGATTAGACAGTTGCCCTATGCTTTCAGAAACCACACCTTCGAGAGCATTCATACTCAAGTCTATATGCCGTAGATTAGACAGTTGCCCTATGCTTTCAGAAACCACACCTTCGAGAGCATTCATACTCAAGTCTATATGCCGTAGATTAGACAGTTGCCCAATGCTTTCAGGTATTGTTCCACTCAATTGATTTCCAAAGAGAGATAATAGTTTCAACGATGAGAAGTGTGTGAGATTAGGAATTGATCCAGAAAGATGATTGCCATAGAGGAACAAAACCTGTAATGAGTTTTGAACGCATGTGGACAACATTTGAACAAACTTGGAAAACTGTCCACTCAGACTAGCATTGACTAGTTTCAGTTCTTGCAAACTGCATAAGCTGGAAAAAGAATGCGGATTCACCGCGTCAAATTTGTTATAAGAGAGATCTAGATAGACAAGAGAGGTCAAGTTTTCAACGACACTGGGAATTAAACCAGTTAAACTGCTGTTACTGAGGCGAAGATCGACAAGGCTAGCATTGTAGTTAGACAACCATAAATATATTGAAGGAGAAGTGCATTGGTTGTCAGAGAGGTCAACATGAGCAAGAGATTTTGAAGAATTTATGTTAAAAAGAGTACTGGAATGGATTACAGGAGAAGGAAGACCACACCTCCGTAACGTTAAGTTTGTAAGTTTAGGGAGCTTACTAAATGTTTCCAGCCAGTCATGAACATTACTGAGATTGGTGCTACTCAGATCCAAATATGTTAAAGAAGAAAGACGAGGGAGCCACGAATTCAGATTTTCTACTCTGTTAAAGACATTCCCACTGAGATCAAGATATTGCAAGTGGGTAAGGTTTCCAACTTGACTTGGAAATCGACCACCAAAAGAAGCACCAGAGAGATCGAGGTGTCTTAAATTGGAAAGAGAACCAATGAAATATGGAAGTCGGGTCCCATTGAAGTTGATGGAAGAAAGGTCCAAATATTTCAAATGCTGCAACTCAAGTAGTTTGGGATTCATCATCTTACCTTTCAAATGCTCCCACTGTCTTTTCTTTTGAAGTGAGTAAATTTCATTGAAATAAGACCATCCAAGATGAAGTTGAGTAACATGGTTGGTTCGGTTGCTGCAGTGGACGCCGACCCATTTGCAACAATCCTGCTTGTGTTCTTCTCTTCCCCACGAAGAGAGGAGATGGTAGTGATCCACGAGGCCGTGTTTGAAAGCAAGGAGTGCTTCTCTTTCCCTCTCAAAGCACCTCACCACTCCTTCTGAAGAAATATTTTTGAATCCAAGGGAAAGGGAAGGGTTGACAGCACATTGCAGTAAAGTGAACACCACAATTAAAGCACGAAAGAGTTTGTTCAAGCACCTGATTCTGATTCTGTCACCCTCCATCTTAATTCAACTAAATCAACCAAGAGACAATTGAAGCACGAAAGAGTTTCTTTAGGATTTTGATTTTGGAGCAAAAGGAAAGCTGCAAGTGTAGTTTTGTTTTTAATGGGTTTTTTATTCTCTCTTTTGTTTTTGATCAGAAGGTTTATTCTTCTCAACTCCTATCTTTTTGGACTTTTCCCTTCTTCCAAAAAATAAAAAATATTTTGAATCTTAACTAAAAGTAATTTAATAATTTTATTCAATAATTAAGATAAAAAATATTAACAAAAACACAAATTAGTTTTCTTCTCTTTCTTCTCTCTCTCCCCTTTTCCTCTTCAGTCTTCACCCCCTCTTTTCTTTTTCACCCATCCCCTCTGTTCACATGTGCCTCGTCTATTTCTCTCTGTCTCTCTCATCCATCCCCTTCTCTCACCTCTCACTTACACAAAAAGCCGAGGCCCCACATCTTATCTTTTTATATTATTTTTCTCTTAAATTCTTCTCCCCTCACTTCCTCTTCACCCTTCACAACAACCTCTATATATCTTAATTCTTTTTCTGTAATTTGTGTACAAAAAGCATAAAGGATTGTCGGTGTATTATTTCTGATGAAATAAATAATAATTAGTTTGTTAAAGGTTGTGGCATCGTTGTTAGACATAGATATAAATTATGGAAAGGGATCTTTTCCGGATCCCTTTCTCCTAATCCACCAAATCTGGGAATTTGAGCCATTGGATTAAATTTCAATGGTCCGGATCCCCGGAATTGGTGGAAGGATCCCTTTCCATAAATTACTACTTGGATTAAAATAAAAAAATAAAGAGTTAACACTTAGTAAATTTGACAGGATTTTGCATAGGAGTGCAACCAATCATTTGAACTAAAATCTACAACGACCAAAACAATCATATGCAATTCAGAATTAACTAAATTTTTTTAGTAAATATCATGATTCAAAACATATACTGCAGAAAGGTCTTGATAGAGTAAATGTAGCATCGAACTTCTTACAAACAATTAATTGATAAGGTAAATGTAGCATCGAACTTCTTACAAACAATTAACACTAACAAATCATCTGCCAAGGAGATTTAGTAGTAAAGTTCTTTATATGACAGCCCAATACTTGAAAACTTGTACAGATAATGGCTCACGAAAGATCCTCTAGTTAAGATAAAAATAAACAAGCACGCGTAATTAAGTTTTGAAGAAGACAACCAAATTAATAAGGACGACTTTACAAAGAGATGCATGCATATTGCTAAATTTCAGAAGAAAAAAATAAAATAAAATCACGTTTAGGTACAATTGCTTCTTAATTTGTGCAATTCTTGAATTACAAATTAGTGGATAGTGACGGATGCAGTTTTTGAAGGATGAAAGCAACTCTCCAACAAATCTGTTGCTTCTTAATTTCAATGTTTCCATGTGCTATTGTGAGCCTACTGTGGATGAAGGCAAGTGTCCTTAGCATTTATCTACAATACTTGTTGATTTAAAGTTAATGTTAAATCAGCCGTTGACTAGTAATGTAGCGTTTATATGGACATTGATTAGGAACTACGTGTTAATACAGGCTTCACGTGAATATTAAAAAAATTAAAAAACTCAGTATGGGCCCTACGCTCAATAATTAATTTTGTTTTTAATAGGGTTTTTTCTTCCCTCTTTTGTTTTTGGTCAAAAGATTTATTCTTCTCAACCCCTATCGTTTCCCAGGACCTCAAGACATCGAAGAGAGAGAGAAACCCATTAAAAAGCAAATTAATTACTAACCATAGGATGTGAATCCAAGGGCCAAAATGAATTGGTCAGTCGAATCCGAGTCCATCACCGAGGGCCACTTTCAATCTGGCCGACTGGGGCGTCACTTTCAAAAGCTCCCAGATCCATTCTACCACCACCTTCTCCAAAGCTACAAAGAAAGGTCGGCCTACGACTAATTATCAGAGACGATTCAACTAGTGACCAAAACATAGCCACATGTTTATACAAAAATTAAAGTTTTCACAAAGGAATTAAAATTTTCACAATTCAAGTGGAAATGTATTGATTTCATGACTTAGTAATTTTAAGTCTTGGTCCTTGGAATTATTAGTTGAGCAAATACAAATATTTGTTGACTTGTACTGCATGCATAAAGTTGGATAAAATTTATATACCCAGGATTTATTATTCGTTTTATTGTTATTTGCCTTAGCCCTTTGGTATGTGTGTGATCTTCTTGTAGTGCATGCATGAAGTTGGACAAAATCTATAAGGTCATTTAGTCAATTAGTTGTGGCAAATAAATGCGTTTACTCATTTGTTTTTATATAGTTAAATGTCTAAATGTGATTTCATATTTTATTAATTTTTTTTAAATATGATCCTTACAACATATTTTAAAATATGACCGATTTCAGTTATAAACACGAAATTTCATAAATTAAAAACTATGTTGAGAAAGAACTCCCATCATCCATTGAGTCATGTACGAAGTTAATCCATAATGTTAAATCTTCGTACCCAATTCGTATTTCGTAATGTAATTATTGACCTGACTTTGAAAAGTTGAACTTCTTCACATCCTATGTGTGTCTTTTAACTTTTTCTAGGTTACCGAGGTAAGTGGTGCAAGTAATTAATTGAGATGTTTTTTATTTTTTTATTTGTAAGGAATTAACTGGGATGTTGGGACATGGAACCCCTCTGGATCCATGTGTCCTAATCCATCAAGTTCAATCATTCAGGCCATTGAAATTTGATTAAACGGCTACAAACAGGAGTCAACTTTAAAAATTACAATAATTTTAACCGTTGGATCAAATTTTAATGGTTCGGATGATTGGATTTGATGGATTAGGACACATGGATCCGGAGGGGATCCATGTCTGGGATGTTGATGGGGATCACAGAGATGGTAGGCTGGCATCGGATGTGGTGGGGTTTTATCAAAGGATTACTGATTTTCTTTCTTGTAGGGAATTACCTGAAATGTTTTTGATATTCTAAAAATTTCTCATCAATGCGGGCAATAGGATAACCCTATTTACTTTTGAGCAATTTCCATTCACTTTAAACTCCCATGACTTTTTAGATATTTAGAAAACCATTTTCATACATTTTCCACGCGTTTAGAAGGCTTTAGGGTCTGTTTGTGATTGTTGTGTCTTTTTTTTTTTAAATTGCTTATGATGTATTTCAAGAATAATCTGTGGTAAAATAAAATAGTTGAACATTTAATAAATTGTATATTTAGTAGTGCTAGTATGAAAATGAGTGTAAAAGCATTTGGTAAATTTAATGAAAAAATGATACTATTGTATATAATGACAAACATATGCATAGTTGTGAGGGTGGTGGCAACAACAGCAGTGGTGGGGGTAGTGGCGATGATGGTAGCGACAATTGTGGAGGGTATTTTAAGAATTAAAAATAGGAAGTTTAACGAAAAGCCCGTGGTACTGTTCACTTTAATGAAAAACCATTTTTTTACACTAAAAAGTCAAACCTGGTACTATTCACTTTACCCTTTATTTTGTCCTTATCGTTAAAACTCAAAGTTTTCAAGTCATTTTCATTAGTTTTCCTTTATAAATATTCATTAAATGCTTAGCTTTGCTTTTTATAAAAAGTAAATTTTAAAAGTAACCTATAAGTTGCTTTTAAAAGTTGTTCTCTAGAGGCGATTGCGTTAAAAATGGGTACGCTATATGTGTAGAGAGTAAGTTGGGTGTAAAAAAAGGTTATATGAGTTCAAATAAAATTCTCATTTGTTTTTGTTATGGATAATGCTAGGAAAACCAAATTTTTAACAAAAATGCTACTTTTACCATCTAGTTGTACTATCATTTGTACTATCTCTCTAATAGATATGAAACTCATATGCGTTGACGGGCCTTACCTCTATTAGAGAGATGGTACAAATAGGTGGTAAGTGTAACATTACTCAATTTTAACAAATTTACAAATTAAATAACATGTCCCCAATAGAAAATACATGTTAATCAACACTTAACTAATAATTAACAATCATGTCATTTGGTTGATAAATTTGATTTAAAAATTTGATCTCCTTAACAGTATGTGTTTGTTATTGTGAGATAATTTGTGGTTTGTGTTAACCTAAAATGAGATCCATTTTTTCGCTGTAGTTAATATCAAATCAATAGTGAATGGCCATATATATCTTGGTCATCCAAATTTTGTGACACTAGTTTCAAAGAGTACTCAATGCCTAAGCTAGAGCACAACTAAAGCATGCACGTGCAAGTAGTTTACATCTCAAAATACAAGCTTGCATCAGATTTATATAGACAAGAAAATGCCCTTGCAAATTTAAATAGAAAAAAAAAAATGAGGAGCAGAAATATCTGCTACGAGGTATGGTGGACTTGTATTTGCACCATTAGCGTCGCAATCATATTGTTTTTATAGGATGGCAAATTTCTTTGGGTTCTTAGTCATCTTAGCCAAATTTGGATGTCATTTCGTCTCAAACACGGCACAAAAGAGAAGTAGACTTGCGTAATTATTTCAGTCAAATTTGGGTTCTACAGGACACGGTCTGGTTCAGTGCGGCTTTGAGTGAAACCGCAACCGAAATCAAAACTTTTTACGATGCGGTTTGGTGTGGTTTTGAAGTCAAAACTGAAATGAAACCAAACTGTTTGGTTCAGTTCGGTGCGGTTTCAAACTGTTTTGGTTCATTTTTTTAGAAAAAAATTGTACAATTTAAAATTTGCACCTATCAACGCATAAGACGGCCTCATTTTCCACACAACACATATAATTAACCAACCCACATGAGAATTCTTTTTTGTACTGCTCTCCCCACTCCCTCATGTACATTTGATCACAGCAATAAATGGTATGTGAGAATGATATATAATCAACTAGCTTAGCCTACCAACTAATTGCACAAATGATAGACTTTGTGAGCAGGAAAAAGCACCCAAATGGAGTGTTGTGGCTTATTATTTGATCAGAGATTCATTTGCATTTTATCACAACAAGAATTCTCAAATGAGTTTTGAGACAAAGAAAGAGAGATCGATGAGGATTAAGGGATAATTTGATAGTGTGGAAAGGGATGACATTCTAGTATGGTTGAGGCTATACTAAATGTATGGAATCTAACAAACAGCCTAAACATGATATTTAATTTGAGGTGCAATTTCGGTTTCGATGCAGTTTTCAAAAGCCAAAACCAAAACCAAACCGTTACCTACTCTGCGGTTCAGTTTCAAAACCGCAACCATTTCAAAACTTCAAAACTAAACCGTTCAATACTGTCTGATTTGGTTTGTGTTTCGGTTTTGATTTTCAGTTTCAAGTGCCCCCTAGTTCTAATTGGCTTGCAATTTCGTCCTCTGTGCACCTCATCGTCATGTTAGCATCCTAGTGTAAAAATTCACATGTAGGATGATGATTAATAGTAAAATGCCAAAAGCACAATAATTCCCCCATCTTAAAGACAATTACAATCAAGATCAAGAGGCAGAAACACAATTAATCAAGAGTGCATTGCCTTTGCCCCTGTTAAGTCTAGTTTTGAAAAGTCAATATGTCGAGTTTTTTTGTTCAACCGTGCAAGTGGGTAGGAGTGGGTTCAGTTTTAGTTGGTTCGTTTTTTTTTTTCGGTTTTCGATTTTTGAACCTTCCTCTATAAGTGTGGCAAAATTTTGAAAGGTGGTGTTGTCACATAGTCTTTTCACATGTAATAAGGCTATTAGCTTTACCTATGTATGCATAGGCAAACTTTTATAACACCTATGTGGACAATATCAGCCATTAGAAACAGATTTTGCAGCCACATAAATTTGAACTTTATTCATTTATTTTCTACGTGCAACGAAATGTCTTTCTTTTGCCCCTTTCTCATGTTCCTTCACATTCTTTCTTTGGTAAAATTGATAAATGTCACCCACAATCTATGACACGGTATGGGTGGGGAATTTTTAAGTCACGGGACTGAAAACCAAATTACAAAAGAGAATACCACAAAATGAGAAAATTCTTCAATAGTACGTAATGATGAATAGTAAAGAATAAATGGACAAGATTGAAAATAGACTATTCAATACTTGTGGAAATCTTTATACTATTCATCTCAAACACGCTACAATCAAAGATGGGGCTACAAGTAGCTATCAGAGGCAATACAACAGGTGACTAAAACATAGCCATATCTTTATACATGCATTAAAGTTTCCACTATCCAAGTGGGAATGTATTGATTTCATGACTTAATAATTTAAAGTCTTGGTCCTTGGAATTATTTGTTCAGAACATACAATATTTGTTGACTTGTACTGCATGCATAAAGTTGGATAAAATCTAATACTCAGGATTTATTATTCGTTTTAAATGTTGTTTGCCTTAGCCCTTTGGCATGTGTGCGATTTACTTGTAGTACATGCATAAAGTTGGGCAAAATTTGTAAGGTCGTTTAGTCAATCAGCTGTAGCAAATGAATAGACATTTTATAATACTTTTAGTCGTTTGTTTTTATATAGTTGAATGACTACATGATTTCTTATTTTATTAATTTGGTTGGATATGATCTTTACAAAGTATTTGAACGGTTTCGATCATTAATATGAAAATTCGTGAATTGAAAACTAAGTATCTTGAGGAAGAACTCCCTCATCCATTGAGTCATGAACGAAGTTAATTCATAATGTTAAATCTTCACTTATAAGTGAAAAAAATACTATTAGAATTTTAAAAGTTGCTATCTGGAGGCCACTGCGTTAAAAATAGGTAGAATATTTTTTTTTTACCAATCACGTTTTTGCTGTTTAACTTTAAATTGAAATAGTTTTTGTGAAAAAATCAATACCAAATGAGACCTTAGTGTTACAAGTTTACACGAAGGGTGGAGAGAATAAATTTGTTATATACACCATTTTCTTAATACTTTTTCTTTAATACTTTTTGAATTCCTTGCTATATTCACATAAAGGAGTGAGGTGAATAAATTGGTTACAAACTCATAATTTACGATTTGAACCTAAAACCTTTTTTTTATTAAAAATAAAGAAAAATGTTATCAAACTATATTATTAAATATCGCATAAAATTTTAATAAAATCACTAACTGACAATCGAAATCATACTTATATTAGATATGTAAGTATTATAGCAAACACTAAGTTCGCAATACTTTCACACACCCACTGATTCCCTTCAACTTGAGAAGGGCTGCTTCTGCTCATAGTAACGTGTTTGAGACGTCCAGAAATATAGGTGGCCAAGTCGGAGCCACACATTCAATATTCCTAAAATGCAAAGCAGAAAAAAGGACGACGACCTAGAGAGTCCTAGTATTTTGCTAGATCGAGACGTGTGAGAAATATGCGCTGCGCGATAAAGTTAAATTCCACCGTTCGTTACGATTCAAAGGCTGATATTAGAAGAAAATAATCACCGACTGGAAATGAGGACATGTGTCTCTAACAAAACACACACAAAAAATAAAACCCATAAATTTGTTTTTGTTATGAATAATGATAGAGAGAATAAAACTTCAAATTAAATGACACGTCACCAGTTGAAAATAAACACGTTAATCAAAACTTAACTAAGAATCCAATTATTAACAATCATGTCATTTGGTATTATCAAGTGATTTGTGGTTTGTGTTAACCCAAAATGAGATTCATTTTTTCTCCAAATTCCATTTTCACCTCAAACTAAGAAATCCAAAAAGGGTAAAAATTAGAAAGAATGCTTTTAATATAACATTTGCGAAAGGCAATCATGCTCGTATAGATACTACCTTTCCCACAGAACGATCCCTATCCTGCAACAGCAAACAATGCCCTGGCAATTCATTGGCTTCAATCCAAATTCTAATGTCTCAATCTGCAAGAGAAATACAATATCCAGCAGGTTATGCGTATTCTTCATTTCCACATCATAACAACTCTGTAATGGTCTCATGCTCATGGTTAAACACAGTCATGTTCAACTGCAAAGAAACATTAAGGAACAAAAAAAACTGAAGAAATTGAAACTTGCCAACGTTATTTGATGTTAACTTGGAGATGCCTCACTTGGTACATCATTACCCTGTTATTTGATGTCAACTAAAACTAATTTCGCAAATATTCAAGATGATCCCAATGTTATTAAATTACTAACCTTATTTTTCATAAAAAGATGCACCAATTCCGTCAATGCTCAGACCTATTAGTCAAATTGTGCACCTTTTCATCCCTTTGGTGATTACACCATTTCTGTTGTGAAAATACTTCAAGCTTTGTAGGAGGAACGCCACCTCCAACTCCTCTTGCACGACCATTTTGCTCAGCACCAAAAACTTTGGAAGGAGCGTCACTTCGAAAACCAGATAGATGATGATCCATTTTCATGTTGCATAATTTTTTCCTAATGTTGCACATCAAAGTTAAGACCTCATCAGCCATTGTTATATCAACAAACAAGAAGAAATAAATGATTAATGTATTACTTTCAATAGTCTCTGCAGCAAGCAAATTGGATGGTCCACCACCCTTCTTAGTATGTGCTGCAATCCAAAGCATCAAAGCATTTTCCTAAAAAGATGCATCAAAGCATTCTCCGTCTTTTGATGTGTTACACTATTATTTGCATACTTGTATTTGACATGTTTTCACTGCTTTTGTTTCCGTTAAATATGGATTATACTTTTTTAGTTGCCTTAGCCTTTGACATGAATCTTTCATGGGTTGCTTCCTCAAAAGTAGAAAATAGTACACAAAATGTCGACATTGAGACGCGAATAATGTCAAAGAAAACATTTCATTTAAGAATTACCAAGTCTTCCAAATAAAAATTCCAAAAAAAAAAAAAAAAAAGTTGTCCTAACCAGCCCTCTAAACAAGCTAGAAAACATCACAGCATATTACGGAGGTAAAAAGATGCATCAAAAGCATTCTCCGTCGTTTGATCAACTCCACCCTTACGTAAACCCAATCGATCGTTTACACCATTTAAGACTTGAAGTATGCATATCTCCATGACTTGAAGTATGCAAATTTTCCACGCGCATAGAAGGCTTTAGGGTTTGTTTGTGATTGTTGTATTTTTTTTTTAAACTATTTATGTTGTATTTCAAGAATAATCAGTGATAGAATAAAACAGTTGAACATTTAATAAATTGTATATTTAGTAGTGCTAGAATGAGAATGAGTGTAAAAGCATTTGGTAAATTTAATGGAAAATTGATACTATTGTATATAATGACAAACATAGGCATAGTTGTGGGGGTGGTGACAACAACAACAATGGTGGGGGTAGTGGCGGTGATGGCAGCGGCAATTGTGGAGGGTATTATCAGAATTAAAAATATTAATTAAACGCTAAGCTTTGCTTTTTATAAAAAGTAAATTTTAAAAGTGACCTACAAGTTGCTTTTAAAAGTTGTTGTCTAGAGGCGATTGCGTTAAAAATAGGTACGATATATGTGTAGAGAGTAAGTTGGGTGTAAAAAAAGGTTATATGAGTTCAATTACAATTCTCATTTGTTTTTGTTATGGATAATGTTAGGGAAACCAAATTTTTAACAAAAATGCTACTTTTACCATCTAATTGTATCATCATTTGTACTATCTCTCTAATAGATATGAAACTCATATGCGTTGACGGGCCTTACCTCTATTGTAGAGATGGTACAAGTCAGTAGTAAGTGTAATATTACTCAATTTTTAACCAAATTTGCAAATCAAATGACATGTCTCCAATAGAAAATACACGTTAATCAACACTTAACTAATAATTAACAATCATGTCATTTGGTTGGTAAATTTGATTTAAAATTTTGATCTCCCTAATAGTATCCATTTGTTATTATAAGGTGATTTGTGTTTTGTGTTAACCTAAACTGAAATCCATTTTTTCTCTGTAGTTAATATCAAATCAATAGAGAATGACCATATATATCTTGGTCATCCAGATTTTGTGACACTAGTTTCAGAGAGTACTCAATGCCTAAGCTGGAGCACAACTAAAGCATGCACGTGCAAGTAGTTTACATATCAAAATATAAGTTTGCATCAGATTTATATAGACAAGAGCCTTTGCAAATTTAAAGAGAAAAAAAAAATGAGGAGCAAAAATATCTGCTACAAGGTATGGTGGACTTGTATTTGCACCTTTAGCGTCACAATCATATCGTTTTTATAGGATGGCGAATTTCTTTGGGTTCTTAGTCATCTTAGCCAAATCTGGGTGTCATTTCGTTTCAAACACGGCACAAAAGAGAAGTAGACTTGCGTAATTATTTCAATCGAATTTGGATTCTACAGGATACGGTTTGGTTCAGTGCGGCTTTGAGTGAAACCACAATCGAAATCGAAACTTTATACGGTGCGGTTCGGTGTGGTTTTGAAGTCAAAACTGAAATGAAACCAAACTGTTTGGTTCAATTCGGTGCGGTTTCAAACAGTTTCGCTTCAGTTTTTTAGAAAAAAAATGTACAATTTAAAATTTACACCTATCTACGCATAAGACTGCCTCATTTTCCACACAATACATATAATTAACCAATCCACATGATAATTCTTTTCTTTACTGCTCTCCCCACTCTCTCATGTACATTTGATCACAGCAAGAAATGGTGTGTGAGAATGATATATAATCAACTAGCTTAACCTACTAGGTAATTGCACAAATGATAGGCTTTGTGAGCAGGAAAAAGCACCCAAATGGAGCGTTGTGGCTTATTATTTGATCAGAGATTCATTTGCATTTTATCACAAGAAGAATTCTCAAATGAGTTTTGAGACAGAGAGAGAGATTGATGAGGATTAAGGGATAATTTGACAGTGTGGAAAGGGATGATATTCTAGTATGGTTGAGACCATACTAAATGTATGGACTCTAACAAACAACCCAAACATGATATTTAATTTGAGATGCAGTTTCGGTTTCAGTGTAGTTTTCAAAAGCCAAAACCAAAACCAAACCGTTACCTACATTGCGGTTCAGTTTCAAAACTGCAAAACCAAACCGTTCAGTACAATCTGATTTGATTTGTGTTTCGATTTCAATGTTCAGTTTCAAGTGCCCCCTAGTTCTAATTGGCTTGCAATTTCGTCCTCTCTGCACCTCATCGTCATGTTAGCATCCCAGTGTAAAAATTCACGATGATGATTAATAGTAAAATGCCAAAAGCACAATAATTCCCCCATCTTAAAGACAATTACAATCAAGATCAAGAGGCAGAAACACAATTAATCAAGAGTGTATTGCCTTTGCCCTTGTTAAGTCTAGTTTTGAAAAGTCAATATGTCGAGTTTTTTTGTTCAACCGTGCAAGTGGGTAGGAGTAGGTTCGGTTTCATTTGGTTCGTTTTTTTTTTTTCGGTTTTCGATTTTTGAACCTACCCCGACAAGTGTGTCAAAATTTTGAATGGTGGTGTTGTCGCAGAATCTTTTCACATGTAATAAGGCTATTAACTTTACCTGTGTATGCACAAGCAAACTTTTATAACACCTATGTGGACAATATCAGCCATTAAAAACAGATCTTGCAGCCGCATAAATTTGAACTTTATTCATTTATTTTCTAAGCGCAACGAAATGTCTTTCTTTTGCCCCTTTCTCATGTTCCTTTGTATTCTTTCTTTGGAACTGATAAATGTCACCGGCAATCTATGACATGGTATATTTGGGTGGGGAATTTTCAAGTCATGCGATTGAAAACGAAATTACAAAAGAGAATACCACAAAATTAGAAAATTCTTCAATAGTTGTGGAAATCTTTGTACTTGTGGAAATAGACTATTCAATACTTGTGGAAATCTTTGTACTATTCATCTCAAACACGCTACAATCAAAGGTGGGGCTACAAGTAGCTATCAGAGGCAATACAACAGGTGACCAAAACATAACCATATCTTTATACAGGCATTGAAGTTTCCACTATCCAAGTGGGAATGTATTGATTTCATGACTTAATAATTTAAAGTCTTGGTCCTTGGAGTTATTTGTTCTTTACTTGGTCCTTGGAATTATTTATTTAGAACATACAATATTTGTTGACTTGCACTGCATGCATAAAGTCGGATAAAATTTAATACTTTGGATTTATTATTTGTTTTAAATGTTGTTTGCCTTAGCCTTTTGGCATGTGTGCCATTTACTTGTAGTACATGCATAAAGTTGGACAAAATTTGTAAGGTCGTTTAGTCAATCAGCTGTAGCAAATGAATAGACATTTTATAATACTTTTAGTCATTTGTTTTTATATAGTTGAATGACTACATGATTTCTTATTTTATTAATTTGTTTGGATATGATCTTTACAAAGTATTTGAACGGTTTCAATCGTTAATATGAAATTTCGTGAATTGAAAACTAAGTATCTTGAGGAAGAACTCCCTCATCCACTGAGTCATGACTCATGAACGAAGTTAATTGATAATGTTAAATTTTCACTTATAAGTGAAAAGAAAATACCACTAGAATTTAAAAGTTGTTGTCTGGAGGCCACTGTGTTAAACATAGGTAGAATATTTTTTTTTACCAATCACGTTTTTGCTGTTTAACTTTAAATTGAAACAGTTTTTGTGAAAAAAATCAATACCAAATGAGGCCTTAGTGTTACAAGTTTACATGAAGGGTGGAGAGAATAAATTTGTTATATTTACACCTTTTTCTTAATACTTTTTCTTTAATACTTTTTGAATTCCTTGCTATATTCACACCAAGGAGTGGGGCAAATAAATTGGTTACAAACTGATAATTCACGATTTGAATTTAAAACCTTTTTTATTACAAATAAAGAAAAATGTTATCAAACTATAATATTAAATATCGCATAAAATTTTAATAAAATCACTAACTGACAATCGGAATCATACTTATATTGGATATGTAAGTATTATAGCAAACACCAAGTTCGCAATACTTTCACACATCCATTGATTCCCTTCAACTTGAGAAGGGCTGCTTCTGCTCATAGTAACGTGTTTGAGACGTCCAGAAATATAGGTGGCCAAGTCAGAGCCACACATTCAATATTCCTAAAATGCAAAGCAGAAAAAAGGACGACGACATAGAGAGTCCTAGTGTTTTGCAACATCGTGACGTGTGAGAAATATGCGCTGCGCGACAAAGTTAAATCCCACCGTTCATTACGATCCAAAGGCTGATATTAGAAGAAAATAATCACCGACTGAAAATGGGGACATGTGTTTTTAACAAAACACAAAAATAAATAAATAAATAAATAAAGTTGTCCTAACCAACTCTTTAAGAAAATAATCACCGACTGAAAATGGGGACATTACGATCCAAAGGCTGATATGAGACGCGAATAATGTCAAAGAAAACATTTCATTTAAGAATTACCAAGTCTTCCAAATAAAAATTCCAAAAAAAAAAAAAAAAAAGTTGTCCTAACCAGCCCTCTAAACAAGCTAGAAAACATCACAGCATATTACGGAGGTAAAAAGATGCATCAAAAGCATTCTCCGTCGTTTGATCAACTCCACCCTTACGTAAACTCAATCGATCGTTTACACCATTTAAGAACTTGAAGTATGCATATCTCCATGACCTATTGAATATCAATGTGCCACAGACGTCCCAAATTCCAACAACAAACCCGATCCCCATACTGATGTAAAATTCCTCTCTAAGCATCCAATGCAGGAATTGCAGTACGGCCTTGTTCTTTAGAGTCAAATTAAGACAAGAACCACAATTACTTGGGAAAGCAAAATAATTCCACTTTATTAACTACATCAAGTACCAAGAGCATCTCCTATGCTGTCTTTATATATGAGAATGTCTTTGAGGTATCCGACAAGTTCCTATATATTGAAATACTTTAAGGAACTCTATTCCCGTCTATTAGAAGCTATTTGTCCCTATATTTAGGTGATGGTTAATGCTAAGGAGACCAAATTTTTAAAACCAAATTTACAAACCAAATGATGTGGTTGTTGATGATTGGATTATTATTTAAG